GATGAAGTGAAGAGAAGGGAACGTAAGCTAATTTTATTCTCTTATTAGGTCTCATCCCAATTTTGGAGGGAATAAATTTCTATTGATTGTAGGGAATTAAGGGAAATGAGGAAGAACATTCTCACTCTTAAAAACTTTTCAAACAGAGTGAATATGTTCACCTACCTTCCTCACATTCCCTTCTTCGATCCTTGTTCTCCTCTATCCAAACAGGTCCTTGAGATACCAATGTATAAAATGTCCACTCAACAATTAATTTCCAATAAATGTTCTAATAATAATAATAATAATAAAATTATTATTATTATCATTATCATCATCATCATCATTATTATTATTATTATTATTATTATTATTATTATTATTATTATTATATCCAAAAGCAAATTCCTACAAGTCCAATATTAACGCAAATTGTAAAATTTAAAATTGAATGAAGCAACTACAACTACAACCATAATATGCAACATTATTTATCGCTACTAGAACAACATCCCTCTCAAACTGCAATTGTTTAACACCCTCTAAAATAATGTTTTAACACCCCTCTCAAATTATAATTGGATCTATGTATCAAAGGCAGTTTGCTAAGAAGAAATAAATGTTGTTATCTGATGTGAGCTTTGCTGAAGAAATCAACAAGTTGGAGATCGGTGTTCATGTAGGAAACAATAATAGTACCAACAAGAAATTGATGATGGGACAAATTTTTAAAACCGTTCTATTTGAACATTTAATCCCAAAAAACGATATGTTTTGAACTTATTTGCAAAAACCGAACTGGTTTCAGCATTGTTGCTGAAACCAGGTCGGTTTTTGTGAAAAAACTTCCGAAACTTCACGGGAGTTGAATTCCCGTGAAGTTTAGTAAAGCTGCTAAACTTCACGGGAGTTCAACTCCCGTGCAGTTTTATAGTTTAAATTTTTTTTTTGAACTATGAAACTTCACGGGAGTTCACTTCACGGGAGTTGAACTCCCGTGAAGTTTCGAATTTTTTAAAAAAAAAACGACATGGTTTCAACGCCTGGGCTGAAACCATGTCGGTTTTTGAAAATAAGTTCAAAACAAGTCTTTTTGGGATTAAATGTGGAAATAGGTTGGTTTTGAAAATTCGTCCATTGATGATGAGCAAAATGACACTAACTATTATAATTCAACTGACGATTTACACCTGGCTATCATTAATCCATAGAAGCTACCGAACCCATCAAATAGAGTCTTGTACGCAATTTCCTTTCTTCTTCTAGGAGGAAATTAAGGAGATAGATCTTATTTCTTGTCGTTCTCCTTTCATTCTGTAGATAAAACAAACAAGCATGTGTACATAGTTTTTAACATGGGAGAATTTAGAGCTTGAGAACTACAGGACAAGTGAATAAAGTCAGGCAAGTGACCAAAATGTCTACTTAGATGAGTTCAATAGGCAGATGGAAGCTTGACTCGAAATTTCAAAGCAAAACATTTTAAGTTTTCGCTCAAAACAAATTATGGTTGTGCATGAAATTATAGACTATTTACTATTATGCTTAGAAATTTGATATCCTGCTTTTATAACCGAATATATAAGAAGGAATTTATATCTTATATATATCAAAGAGGTAGGTTTATTCTGAATTAGCAGAAAAATTAATTGTAGTAAATGGGAAATTGAGATAAAGAGAACTGACTCCTAACGAAAGGTCCATATGCAGGTTAATTTACTTGGACCAATATTCTCAGAAGATAATATTTTTTTAACGATGCGAGACTAAATATTGTCTAATAACTTTCTAGAGTAAGCCCCGGTTGAATAAATATTGTCTAATAACTTTCTAGGGTAAGCCCCAATTGAATAGTGGATGCTGTTAGAATTAATATATAACTATAATCCTTGATCCTCACAATAACTTCGGAGTTTTGGTATAATGGTTAGAGGAACTAAATTTAAGATGGTATCAGTGCAACCCAGTTTCAAATCTCACCGGCCACGAATTAAATGTGGATTTTCTAAAAATTGACACCACTACGTGGGTCCAGTTTTCGACCCATAAAAAAGGACGCTCGACCTGCGTGGGCATGTTAGAATTAATATAAAACTATAATACTTGATCATCACCATAACTTCGGAGTTTTTGTGTAATGGTTAGAGGAACTAAATTTAAGATGATGCTAGATACTCCTAACAATAGATTTAAATTAGTATTATATTTGCAAACAATTGTTTGCGTCGAAAATTGATGTATTCATTGCGGTATTCATTACAACTTCAATCATTACAATGAAAACAAAAAAAGATTGTCTTTTTATAAGACTTTTACACAATGAAAACAAAAGTTTACAACTCTCGTCAAAACAAACGCAGAGATCGTTTATCGGTCTTCTGCTTACGTGGGATCTTTGCCTGTGCCGGGGTTTATCCGTGGACCGTCTTAGATCTGGATCCGGTTGATGAAAAATTTGGCAGAGCTTCGCCTTCGCCGAGGAAGTATTTGATTTGAAGCGCTGAAATCGACCAAGCGAAATCAGGGCTCTTCTCGAGATTAAGACCAAGCCTAATCTCAAGGGACGGACGGGAACGAGCGTCGGATCTCTCGAACTCTCCTTCTTTATGCCGAAGAACTAGCCAAGATCTGTCAACCCTCGCTGAAATTCGTGCTCCTTTGACTCCACAATCCGGCAGCACCTCCTCGTCTTGATAATCAATCGCCCCAGAAAATGGAGGCCTTTGG